TGTTCTTGATTACATTCGTATAATGAATAATCAAGACTTAGACAGATTTTATAGTACAGCAATAAAGAAATATAATGATGAAGTACTGATACGGAAACAAATACTTTCTCGAGTTATTGATATCATTAAACATTTATGTAAGCAAACATTGCCATTTCGAGGTCAAAGGAATGAAGGTGCTTATTCGTTGGACAATGATGAAGAAAATCATGGAAATTTTTTGGCTTTGGTATAGCTTTTGGCCAAATATGACCCACTTTTAGCTTCTCATCTCTCCATGTGTCAAGAGAAATCAACCAAAAGAATAGAAAAACTGAAGCGTCAAGGTAAAGCCGGCAGTAAAGGTCGCGGTGCTCTGGTCACGTTTTTAAGTAAGACAACTATATCAAAGCTTCTCAATATTATGAAAAATATGATGCAGGAACAGATTGCAATGGAAGTATCCAAAGCAAAAGTGTACTCCGTACAAGTTGATTCTACACAAGATATATCTGCAATTGACCAATTCAGCATTGTGGTTCGCTATGTTTTAAATGCTACTGTGCATGAACGGCTGCTTTCTATTGTACCAAGCAATGACTATACTGGCCATTATATTTGACGCTACAGCGGCTTGGCTTAAACTTGAAATACTGCCTATCGGACAGCACTGATGGTGCTTCAAGTTATTATGGCCAGTACAATGGACTGCAACAAAAGATTACAGAAGCTGCAGACCACCATGTACATATTTGGTGTTATGCTCATGTTCTCAACTTAGTTGTGAAGGAGGCAACCAGTTGCTGCGTTCAGGCAGTTTCATTTTTTACCCTTTTGCAAAATGTTTCAACATTCATAAAAGTGTCATATAAGCGAATGGCAACATGGATTAAACTTGTTAAAACACAAATTGGAATAGATAAGATGAAAAGATTGAAATTGATTGGTGAAACAAGGTGGTCGGGTAAATCAAATGCTGCAACAGCGATATTTGGAACATTTGCTGAGCCATCTTCAACAGTGTTTGTCAATTTAATTTTATGTCTGTCATGTATAAGCGAATTAGAAAATTTTGATACAAAGACACGTCATGAAGCTAAGACATTGCTCATGCCATTCCTGAAATTTGACACCATTTTGACTGCCTTTACCTACCTGCGAGTTTTTGAAAAAGTGGGACCACTTTCAATATACCTGCAAACTCGTGGATTAAATGTGTTGGTTGCATTCAAGATGGTGGAGAAGGTTGTAATTGAATTGAAAAGTCAATCAAGACTTTTTGATGATGTTGATAAAAACGCTCTTCAATTTGTACGGATGGCAAAGGCAAGCATCATTAAGAGAACTGAAACCATATTAGAGGTAAAGATAGAACTACCAGCTAAATGGAAGCGGAAGACACCAACGATGTTAGATGAACATACACTAGACGAACGTGACGAATCTAAAGCTTTGGAACACTACAAAATTCACACTTACAATGTGGTGATGGATCAGGTAGTCCAAAGTCTTGAGTCACGTTTCACTTCACATCGACAATTATATATGGACATGGCATGTTTTGATACATCAAACTTTGGTGATCTTGCCATTTCGGGAATTCCTGAAAACAGTTTACAAAGCATCATCAAATTTTTACCAGATGCCGACGTTGATAAAATAAAGGTCGAATTGTTATCATTTGTCACTAACTATGAGATTTTGAAATTGTCCTTGCCCTTAACAACAACATTGAGAGAGAACGCATATCAAAAGGATGACATAGAAGAACCGCTCTGTTATCAGCATACAAATGGAGCATGCGGATCGTGTCCATCTTGTGTGTTACGAATTCTTGCTGCATATAGACTCAACGACAAAACCTATGACAATTTTGTATCATATTTATAAAATAATATTTACTATTCCTGTAACACAAGCCGAATGTGAAAGATCGTTTTCTAAGTTAAAGTTAATCAAGGCAGGATTGCGTAATTCTATGTCAAATGACCACTTAGAGTCATATATGTTGATGTCTGTAGAAAAAAATCTACTTGATAGCCTTGAGTATGATACGATCATTCAAAGATATGCATCTTCGTCCTCTGAATTGAGCAAACTGTTTAAAGAATAGTTATTGCTATACTTTGCACTGTGCAAATTGCACATCACTTCTACTTTTTTAATTCAATATAATTTTATTAATCTGTGATTTAATTGCTCCTCTTAAGACTTATTTTTAGAGAGTTGCGGACCGGACAGTATTTGCGATATATGTATGACCAGGAGGGCCCTTTAATTATTTTCATGGCCGGTAATATATATACAGCCAGTCCGCCACTGTATATACATACATATATATGTATATATATATATATATATATATATATATATATATATATATATATATATATATATATATATATATATATATATATATATATATATATATATATATATATATATATATATATATGTACACATATATATATATATATATACATATATATATATATACATATACATGTATATAAATATATATATATATATATATATATATATATATATATATATATATATATATATATAGTACATATATATATATATATATATATATATATATATATATATATATATATATATATATATATATATATATATATATATATATATATATATATATATATATATATGAGGCATATTATTATGAAGTAAATGCTTTTAAAGAAGTTAATGCTTTTAAAATTACATTTTAAAATGCTTTTAAAGAAGTAAATGCTTTTAAAATTGGATGGAAGAGAGTTCGTATAGTGTTTTTATATTGAGTGAAATTTTTTTTATATGAACCAGCGCGAGATTTTGTTAACTCAATGTTTATACCATAAAAAAGTTTATTGATGATATCATAGGATACAAATAGATTTATCATCAGCAAACATAGTCGAGGCTTTATAAAGATTATCAACATAAATAAGAAATAGTAGGGGTTCTAGAATAAATCATTGTGATAATCCGCAAGTTATATTTAGAAAATCATGCGAAGAAGATTGTTCTATAAGGAGAATTTGCTTAAGTTGTTTTAAATAACTTTTAAGTAGCATTAAAACTCTACCAGTGGTACCATGATATTGTTTAAAATGTTTGTACCACTATTATTACCATATAAGTGATAAATAATTTAAACATAAATATAAATAATAAATAAACATTTTAAACAGTACTTTATGGTCAAAAGTGATAAAAACCTTAAATAAGTTTATAAAGATGCGTAAGACTTTGAGTAAGACGAATTTTTGCATTTTTAGTGGAGTTTTGAAAGAATTGCACTTGTGTTTTAAAACCGCAGTGGTTCTTGTATAGTATATTATTAACAGCAAGATGATTAAATTTTTGATTAAACAAAATTTTTTCAAGTCAGAAAAGCACTGGGTGCTGGTCATTTTGATTGTTGTGTTCTTTTCGAAGAACGAAAAGATTTCGATATTGATGAACATACCATTTAAATTTCTAATCATAAATATTATGTACTTTGTCAAGTTGCTTGTGATTGGTTACGATGTTATCTCTTAAATTGAAAGCAGTTTGTTAGCATTTATAGAAAAAAATTCAAATTATATGCACTTAATTTATGATGTTCCTTAGGATTCAGTTCTAAGTTAATTTACGATAATTTATGATGTTCCTTAGGATTCAGTTCCAACTCCTCTATTGTACCTGTAAACTTAGATCTAAAAATTTTATTTCTTTGGCTAAATGCAAACTTAATTTTTTAAACCAAAATTAATAATAGACATCTGTATCCAACAAACTTTTTAAATATCTCGGTGTCTTTACAGTACCTTTCATGTATATTTCATATAGGAGCACTTCGTAAAAAATAATTGCATGCGAAACGTAATTTTTCGTTGATGCACTAAAAATGCACTAAAAAAAAACCGTAGATCAACACCTTGAATGTTTTCTCTGTCATCTATCCAATTTGCTATGCTATGCAGACAAAACCATTTTATTCTTTAAAAAAAGTATTGCTTAAAAGTACTGATAGTAATATATAAAATGGAAGTAGTTAAGTATCACTAGCATATACAAAAATGCATATTGAACAGTATTCCACGTGGAGCTATATTTAAAGCAGAATTTTTTGTTCAATTTTACTCGTTCAGGGGATTGAAATGTAGTAACTCATATTTTTTCAGTTTTCTATGTTTTATTAGACAAAAACTTAAACTTTTTGAGTAAAACTTAATTATGGTTGCTATGCTCACTTTGCGTTGACCAAAAGCTGATATTTGACCAATCAATATTGTTTCTAGCATCCAAACAAATAATTCATGTTTTTGTTTTAGAAATTATATTATTTAGTTTAAAGTTTACCTTATTTTTTTTTTTTTTGTAAATGTTTACAGCATTTTTTTACTAGGTAATGATTATTCCTAAGCAAGAGTTTAGCAGAATTTAAACTGCATTGAAATAACTGGCTGTTTTAGGAACTAAAACAAGCAGTTATTTCTTTGTCTATTAAGCAATGACAGCACCGACGTGTTAAGTATAACTTTAACTGAAAGTTGCACTCTTCGAGATTGATTAAATATTTGAAAAAATAATATATTTTAAACTATTTAGATATCAAACCTAGTTATTAGATATCTATTTTAAAATTGATGCATATATTTAACTTCAAAGAAATACTTTAACCCCTTTTTATAACCCCCTCCCCCGTGAAGAATATGACCGATAGAAGGTTATATTCAGCTTATTGTCAGTTTTTTTAAAGATATAGTATTTCAAAAATACTATATCTTTAAAAACGTTTTTTTTTTACGAACACAGCCGGCGCTCTTTCAAGATTTTTAAGATGCATTTACAGCTCTTTTATCTAACACCACCAAATAAATGCTAATTCAAAGATAAAATCGCCCACCCCAACAATACGACACCCCAATCTATGAAATTTTACTAAAAAGGTTTAATAACCCTAACTGTTAGATTTTAGAATTAATTGCAATCCTGCATGTTAGGAATAAAACTGAAATTTGTTTCAGGTAAAACCGATGTTTTAAATCACAGTGATTACTGGGGAAGTTCTCAACAGTTATTGTCTGGAAAAGTAATTGCAGATTTTGTTGCTGGAGAATATGGTACTCTGCATCCTGTGTTTGGCGTGCTTTTAAACCCTACTACAGGTAAATAGTTATATAAAAGATTAATTAATTTTTTTTTTACTTTTTTATACTACAAAAAACTTGCAGTTTAATTATATATATTTCCATATATACAGTGAGGTGGGATGCCATCCCATCACCTTTTTATAAATTATAAACCATCCCGCCACTTTTTATAAATCTCTGTATATAACAATGGTTAGGCGGGATGGTATTTTTAATTTTCTGAATACCATCCCGCATATATATATATATATATATATATATATATATATATATATATATATATATATATATATATATATATATATATATATATATATATGCGCGGGATGATATGTATATATATATATATATATATATATATATATATATATATATATATACATATACATATATATACATATATATACATATATATATATATATAATATATATATATATATATATATATATATATATATATATATATATATATATATATATATATATATATATATATATATATATATATATATATATATATATATACATATATATATATATATATATATATATATATATATCAGGTATACCGGTATGAAATGAGCGTTTTTTGTGAAAATAAAACACTAATTATTAATGGGAAAGTATAAAACATTTTATTCAAAGTATTGGCCATTGTTTTCTACACATTTTGACCACCTATCTGGCAGTTTGTGGATACCACGCCAATAAAATTGTTCGTTTTTTAAAGCAAACCAACCAGACACCCAATTTTCGACCTCCTCGTAGGAATCAAAGTGATGCTCAGCCAATGCGTGTCCCATCGATGAAAACAAATGATAGTCGGAAGGAGCCAAGTCTGGTGAATACGGCGGGTGGGGTAGCAGCTCCCAGCCAAGTGTTTTGATTGTATCCTGAACCGGTTTTGCTTTGTGTGCAGGTGCATTGTCATGGAGCAAAATTACCTTGCCGTGTCTTCTGGCCCATTCTGGTCGTTTCTCGATCAATGCATGGTTCAAATTGATCATTTGTTGTCGGTAGCGATCAGTATTGACGGTTTCACCAGGTTTTAGGAGCTCGTGGAACACCACACCTTTCTGGTCCCACCAAACACACAGCATTGTCTTCTTGCCGAATCGATCTGGTTTTGCAGTCAATGTTGATGGTTGTCCCGGATTAACCCATGATTTTTTCCGTTTAGGATTCTTAAAATAAATCCATTTTTCATCGCCAGTAACAATCCGATGCAAAACCGATTTTCTTTCGTGTCTTCAAAGCAAAATTTCACAAGTGTTTTTTCGGTTTTCCATCTGTCTTTCATTCAATTCATGAATGAAAGACAGATGGAAAACCGAAAAATTCATGTGGCACCCATTTTCCACACTTTTGGATCTTTCCCATAGCTTCTAAACGGTCAGAAATTGTTTGTTGTGCAACATTTAACATTTCTGCCATTTGCTTTTGACTCAAAGTGTTATCTCCACCCAATATCGTTTGCAATTCGGCGTCTTCAAACTTTTTTGGTGGTCTTCCACGTTCTTCATTTCTCACATCAAAATCATTATTTCTGAACCGTTGAAACCATCTTTTGCATGTTGCTTCTGATAGAGCATGATCACCATATGCCTCGACAAGCATTCGATGCGACTCTGCAGCACTTTTCTTCAAATGAAAACAAAAAGTTAATGCTTTCCGCAAATCATCACTTTCCGGTACAAAATTCGACATTTTTAACACGATGAAAAAGTATGATGTTGTCTGTTCAATGACTTGATGTATACTAAATATGTTACACAAATGTCATAGCAAACAAACAAAAAAAAATAAAGGCTCGTTCACAACAAATGTTCCCTATCGAGACATTTGTATCTTGACGCTCACTTCATACCGGTATACCTGGTATATATATATATATATATACATATATATATATATATATATATATATATATATATATATATATATATATATATATATATATATATATATATATATATATATATACACCAAAAGTTCTTTTCAGCACAAATATATATATATATATATATATATATATATATATATATATATATATATATATATATATATATATATATATATATATATATATATATATATATATATATATATATATATATATATATATATATATATATATATATATATATATATATATATATATATATACACCAAAAGTTCTTTTCAGCACAAAATGTGATATTACTTTTAAAAATAAGACAAATTTTTTAATTTTATTTAAAATCATTTTATTTATCAAGACATGTTTTGACTCCAACCTTTAATCAATGTATGTACATTAGGGTGTTGCGATAAAAGTTTTATAATGTCGATCTCCCAGACTGTTTTCTGGTGATAGTTAGCGTAAAAACCCTAAATTTCAAATTTCAGCCCTAAATGTTAACGCTAACCTTTGTTCAAAGTCCCAAAAAAAGTGATTTTTTGTTTTTTTCAAAGATTTAAAAATCCTTTAATCTATAACTTAAGTAAATAAACAAGTAAATTTAGTTTTAACTTTTATTTTACATATATAAGCAGGAAAAAAAAATCATAGCCATGATAAAAAATTTAAGATAAGAATTAAAATATCATAAATATTACTAATTTTTCATGTTTATTGGTATTTGTTATACATAGTATTATTGGTAATTCTTATATTGAGTAATTTTTTACTCAATATAAGAATTACCAATAATACTATATATGACAAATCCAACTATATTATCTGCTCAATCCCATTGCTGTACAAAAGAAAATGTAGCTGTGGGTTGACTATTCACTATTTCTGGAACGCCTAACAATTTACCTTGTTCGTAGCATGGAGTTCTTGAAATTAATATTGCTAGTCTATCTGATCATCTCTTTTTCATGATTGCAATATTTCATCATTTCTTCCATTATGCTTGGTTAAGGTTCTGTATGATTCATACAAATTTGAAAGTTTCTGTTTTACTTTTTCTTTTCTCTATGTTTTTACTCCTGTTTTCTCCCATATAACACACAGCTTGTCAGTTATTTTACTACATATAACTGTATTACTAATAGAGTACTTACCATGTTTCATAGGTTCTTCTTTCAAAAAGAAAAAGTATCGCAATTCCCCACGCTTAGTTGGTATACGGTTCGAAGGTAGTTGTTCCAGACAACAACCAAATTTGGCATTTTGAACGCAAACTTGATTGACTCATATTGACCAAAGCTAATTTTGTAAATTTCACAAATCGCACTGCAATATCTCATAGCAACATAAACAAAACCTCAATATTTAACAATAACAAAAAGATGACTCTTTTGTAAAAACGACAACATTATTTACCTTTAAGAACTCTGTTTCATTCGTACTATTTTACATTTTTATAATCAACTCTTCGTAGTTAATAAACTCCCTAGCCATAATTATGTGCATGTACACAATCATCCCAAGAGAGTTTTGTATGTATTTTATATATCATAAACTATTTTTGCAAAAATAGTTTATGACATATATACACTAACAATTTGTAAACACTATTAAATCATAACAGTTTATTTATTTATTTACAATTAACACATATGAGCATCAAAACAAAAGACAGCTAATTACTAAAATTTTAATGAGCTTTTGATGTATTTCAACGTATTTAGAAATACCAATAAAAATGAAAAATCAGTAATATTAATGACGTTTTATTTCCCATTTAAAACTTGTTATTATGGCAAATCCTAAACATATGCGTGAAATAAAAGTTTAAACTGAGTTTACTTGTTGGTTTAGTTACAAAAAGTAATAGAATAAAAATAATATGAAATCTTTAAAAAAACCATAAAATAAATATTTTGGGGAGACTTGGGACAAGGATTAGGATCAACATTTTGGGCTGAAATTTAAAATTTAGAGTTTTTATGCTATCACCAGAAAAGAGCCAGGGAGATCAACATTTTTGAACTTTGGTTTTTCCGGACACCATAATGTACATGTTTACCAACTCCTCTCATATTCCTTTAAGTAAATATAACCAAACATATGTGTGCACGTATATAAGTTATATAAGTACTTAATATGGATTTCTTAATCAACATTAGGACGAGTAGGCCCTGGTGACACTGGTTTAATGCACAACTTTTTATTTGACTACAATGGGCCCTGGGCAAATCACGCTGCTGTTCACGATGCATTTGGATATTTAAAGACATTTCACAATATTGGACCAGGCTACAATTATTTAGGAGGAATTTCAGCAGTTAAAACTGGTAAATGTATGGCAGGACAAACCTCAGGGTTATTGTTTTGGAATCGCATTATTAATCAGCATAAAGTAAACCAATAAACCAGTTGACTAAAAATATATATTTTTTAATTTTATTTTGTTATTTGTGTCGAGTTATTTTGTTTGCTTTGTTACTTTTAGTTTGTTTTTTTTTTCACTTGTTTTTTTATTTTGATAAAATGTATTAATTCAAAAAAAAAAAAAAATTCTAATTGTTTACAAATAAAATATTTATTTAAAAGTTTCATTTGTATTTTTATTTTATTTAAAAATATTTGATTAAATAAGATTGATTAACATTCGGTGATTCAAAGGTATCAAAATGCTTGACACTAGTAGATTAAACATGTTGCCTTTCTAACCACCTGTTTCCTAAAACTCCATGCATCCGTTGCTAAAAATTGTTTCATTATTGCTCATCAGTTTCTGCACAATAAAGTACTCGATGGTTGAATATTTAATCAACCTATATAGCTATTTGTCCATGACTAAGCAAAGAGGGCAAGCTAGCCAATTGTGCTAGAAACTAATAAATGTTGGAGAAAGTTTCTCTTCAAACATTTGGTGCAACGGACCAACAACTATTGTTTATTCCAATATTCACGTTTAATCTATCTATAGCAATCATCTGAGTTGATTTACACAGTTTGAGGTTATGCTACAGTATAAATGAAACAATTTTAAATTTCTTTATAATAAACTTTTGAAAATGCGTATTTATTGATCAATACTTATTGTCAGACAGTATTATTATTGACATCAATTTCAACTAATATTCACCCAACGTGTTTGGTAAAATGAAACTAAATCCTAAGGAATTTTAAAATTGCTTCACATTTTATATAAATGGTCAGTTAACACATTTCTTAGGAACATCAAGATATGGTAGTTGAAGTTTTATCCAACAGGATATTTTGAATATTGATATTTTGCCAATCAAAATTTCATACTTTGATTGGCTGAAAGATAATTTTCAGTGTGTAAACCGCTTTCTAGTTACTTATATATTAGACTTTTTTTTAATGGCCTTACAGGTGACTACTTTTTAAAATATTTTTGAAGTTTAGCAGTCTAGACTTTAAGCAATAACAGTAACTTTTTTGGAAAATAATGGAGGCTTACATAATTTTTTTCAATACGGCAAAAATGAAATGTAACTGTCACATGTGCAATTTTTGCAAACTTCTTGTCAGAAAGTTTATACTGGTATAAATTGTGAAGATTTTAGCAATAAATATAAATATACAAAGTTGAATTTGGTTGTTGTACCAATTATTTCTTCCCGAAAATGCTTGTCAGATCATATATTTCTTTAGGAAGAAATATCTGATTTAGCATAAATAAGTGAAGATGCAAGCAATCGCATCTTCAAAGATGATAAACGAAGAAGAAGTAAATGACGAAGGAGGAAAATTCTGATCGCCATTTATTTAATCTTATAATGTTTCTGTGACGTTTAAGTTGTTTAAACTATTGCCATTAAAAATACATACAAACAAATCAAGCGATCATTTTTTCCTCAAGAAAGTTTCTTTTTGTTTGTTGTGGTTAAAAGAACCTAAAATGAACTGAAACCATGGCAAATAGAAACTTATTACTAAGCCTGACTCAACTCCTCGCCATATAAGCAATTATCACATCATGAGACATATTAATACTTATTAAAAACCATTACAAACATCACATTCAAAAATGAAATATTATTTGTGTAATATACATTCAATGACATACCTTGTAGTGCATGTTTATCAAAGTTATACAATAAATTATAAAATGTCTTGAACATGCTGCATAGAATTTGGTTGTGTGAAAACCAAGTCTCTTTGAGATTAGCATTAACTTTTTTCACAATTTCAATTCATTAAAAACCGTTAATATGTTTTGACTATACAGACAGACTAAAAAAACGAATTTTAATTCTAGTTTTCATGAAATTTTTAATAGGGTACCCTTTAGGTGACGTCAAATCACCTCAAAGCATCTTGTTAGCCAAAAGAAAATAAAGATAAATTATTTTAAAAGTTTTCAATACATTTTTTTTTACTTGAAAGCGTTAAAAGAATGCGTAACAGAAATAACAGTGAAAGAAAACAATCAAGTTGTTTGCCTAAAATGAATTCACAGTCGAATTTAACAATTAAAAAAACTTCGTCAACCTAAAACCATTTTTAAAATTTTCAGTTAAAATTAGTTGTTTCAATTAAAAAATAAAATTATCCTTTTAAATAATCTCGTTACGCCAATGTACATTGTACATACGCCAATGTACTCGTTACGCCAATGTACGCCAATACTGAAGATAGTAATGTCGCCAAAATTTACATTGTAAATTTTTCTCGTGACGTCAAAAATGAAAAAATAAAGTAGTTTTTTTAAATAATTAAAAAAAAAAATCTAATCGCGTTATCCACGTGTTTCAAAGTTAAGCCGTTAAACATTATTTTTAGATATTAAGCGATTACGCCGATTACGTTTCTCCATTGCGCAAATTAAAATTTACAAATTTAGATAACATAAATGACGCAAAAAACATCACTTGGTTTTTAAAAAAAATAGTTCAAACCTATTGAAAGATAACATATATGAAAAACTGAAATTATTATTTAAAAATCATAGTTATTATACTTGTGCATGATCAATTTGAGTAGTTTGCTGTATCTGCATGGAAACAAATGATTATATTGCAACAATTCTGGTTAGTTAATTGCTTGTAAGATAATACTTACTAAAACTTTACTTTGTTTTAATTTCTTAATTTATTGTAAGAGTCGCTGTTGGTAAAACTCGCAGGTAAAGTCTATATTTGAGCAAAACATTTTAAGCCCATAAAATTTAAAGTATTTAAAAGCAAATTAAAACGTTTAAAGCAGATTAAAATGACACGTTGTCACGTTGCAAGTACCCAGCTCCCAGCAAACAAAAAGATATCTAAAATGCATCTAATATGCATCTAAAAACTGATCTAAAAGATGTCGAAATTCAGGTCTAGAACGGGACATAAATAGACGTCTATCTTATAGACGTCTTTTAGATGCATTTTATTCGACACAAATAATTGCCTTAGATGCATAAAAGATGTGAAATATACATCTTACAGATGCATATTAGATGTATAAAATACGTCTCTTAAATAGATGTCTAAGGCGCGTTTAAAAAAGATAGATAATAGATAATTTTTTAGTATAGCTCTTTTATGCATCTAATATACATCTTTAAAAGTATATTTCACATCTTTTATGCATCTAAGGCATTTATTTGTGTCGAATAAAATGCATCTAAAAGACATCTATAAGATAGACATCTATTTATGTCCCGTTCACGACGTGAATTTAGACGTCTTTTAGATCAGTTTTTAGATGCATATTAGATGCATTTTAGATATCTTTTTGTTTGCTGGGATAGCATAAAACAAATAATGCAGTATAAACATTTAATAGCATTCTTAATGGGTACAAGTTTATCCGATTTTGAGCTTTTGAGGTTCTATTGAGGATAAGCAAAAGTTATTTTAACAGAAAATTTGCTCAAGTCTTAAGCAAAATTTTTGTTAAAATTTCTGTTAAAATTTTATCTCAAGTTTAGATAAATGGCAGGTTTTCTTTATACAAAAAAAACATGAAGAATCTACTTCATAAGACAACTTACTAATTTAATAAAACTACATCATTTTGCTCTAAAGCAATTCGTACATCATAACAATTGTTAAGCATTATAAATAAGGCACTTAAAGAACTTAGCAATGCTTAATGTAAAATCTATTCCTAATTTATCGGAATAGATTTTACTCTTTCTTTGCTGGGACTTGTTTGATACAAAGGTGTTACAGCGGTTAAATTAGTCATAAAAAAGGATTAAATTAAATAAGTAAAGAAACATTTTAACTAACATTACTTAATTTTTATTTCACAAAAATATACATAAGAAACTATATTTCTGCATTGCCGTCAATATTTTCTTCTACGTCGCCGATATCTAAAATATATACATTAATGACATTTAAATGACTTTAAAAGACATGTAGAATTCTGAATCTATTTTTATGAAATATTATATATATATATATATATATATATATATATATATATATATATATATATATATATATATATAATATATATATATATATATATATATATATATATATATATATATGTAAATATTATATATATATATATATATATGTAATATATATATATATATATATATATATATATATATATATATATATATATATATATATATATATGTAATATATATATATATATGTAATATATATATATATATATATATATATATATATATATATATATATATATATATATATATATATATATATATATATATATTACATATATATATATATATACACATACAGTATCGGACAAAACCAGTGCAACCAAATGATGCTAATTTAGTTTTTTTGTATAAAAGTGCTGTATTTTTTCAATTTAGAGAAATAACTATGTAACTGTTTAAAGACAACGTTCTTCAAATTTTATTCATCACAAAGTTCATTATTTGTACACGAAAATTAATAAATTAATCAAAAGTATTAAAAAAAGTTGATTTCCTTCTGGACAAAACAAGTGCAACTCCACAAAATGTTGACCAAGCTGTATTCATATCAATATTTTGTGGTGAATCCTTTGTTGTCGATCATAGCTTTGCATCTTTAAGGCATAGATTCGATCAGGTGATCAATAAAACTTTGTGGAATCGTTGCCTAGGCCTTTTGGATTTGTTCAAACAGTTGATCCTTATTACGAACACATTCATGATTAACTCTGCGGTTGACAATCTCCCACAGGTTCTCGATAGGGTTGAGATCCGGAGATTGAGGCGGCCAATCCATCACCAATAGAAGGTTGTGTTGAAACCACTGCTTGACTACTTTTGCAATGAGTTTGGGATCGTTGTCTTGCTGAAAAACCCATTTTATTGGTATATTCCATTCAGCATGAGGTAACAACATCTTTCAGGATATTTTTATACATGAAACGGTCCATTATTCCATCGATTCGATGTATTGGACCTAGACCATTAGCAGAAAAACACCCCCAGACCATTACATTGCCTCCACAATGCTTCACATGTATGCTGCAAAATGGCACTTGTCAACGAAATTCTGCCTGTGTGCTGTCACCTGTCAGCTGATTGCTCATATCATGGCATGCTATGACTCCAGACTCCTGAACTGCTTGCTGTGGTAGTATAGTTCGTTTTATTTTTAAGACATATAAAATTAGAAACACTTTTTAGCATTATTCGATGTTGGTTGCAAATGTTTTGTCCAATACTGTATATACACACATATATATATATATATATATATATATATATATATATATATATATATATATATATATATATATATATATATATATATATATATATATATATATATATATTAACGAGAAGATTTGTATCTCAACCAGATACAATAAACAAAAATTTTTTTATGAAAAAACTAAAGAAACTTGTATTATGGATACAAAAATTCTAGCATGACACAAAAAAGTTGAAGAATATCTTTTTAATACAGATATCAGTTTTGTAAATACTATTAAAACTATACCTCGTATAACACTCCATATATTTACTAGATTTTCTATGCTTATCTTTTCCCCATTTCCTTTTCGATTAAATTTGGATTGTAACTGATTCAAAAATAACCTGATAAATATTTTAACAATAAACTGAAATATATTTATAAAGATTTTTACTTTAATATAGGAAATAAATTAAAATATATTTCAATATATGAATGCTTAAAATTATGAAAAGTAAAAGCATTAAATTTGAAAATAAAATGCTAAACAAGATTTAGCATTACACTTACTTTAGCACACAAACAAACTTAAACACCTACAGTGAAGCTCCCGAGTTTATCAAATTGTCATGTTAAAAGTAAATCCATAACAAATAACGGTTAAAATGAATTGCTTTTAGTCCCTTTTAATCATATTTCTAATAATTAATAAAAACATAATCATTTACCTTTTCATGATCAAAAAAAACATGTTCTCTTGGCTTTCCACCACCAATCTTTTTCAAACTATCAAGCTGAAATAAATGTAATAAAAACTAGTGTAACTTAAATTTCTTTACAACATATTGAGTCTAACACAAGCTAGTTATTTTAGTTCATTTACAAATACTTTTCATTTAGATTCTAAACTAGTAAACCAAAATTAAACAAACTTATTAAAAATTAAGATAATTAGGTATTACCAAATTAGTATACTCGCTTTTATCTTTTAGTTTATTATCCAGTGTAACCACTTCGTCCACTGATTCTAGCAACTTCACCCCATTAGCCTGAAACTTAATTTCTATAACTTCTTTTAAAAGAACTTTTATTTCTGCAAGCTCGTTGAGAATAACATTTTGCATCTCTACAAACAAGAATAAAAAAATTGATTAACATATTTAGCTCATAAAACCAAATAGCAAAACAATGAAATAAGAACTTTAAAATTCAAATTATGCTTGAGTAACTCAAACTAAAATTCCAAAAATACATGTAAGTTTTTTAATTACTCCATCGCAGAAGTTGCCATAATATTTTGGAAAACCTACTTTTTAAATTAGCTAAAACTTTATCCTGTAAAAAGTTACGATATTAAAGAATTTTGTTTAACTACTAAAGGTAAAATGCTACACACATGATTTATCGGATCACAATATTATAAATTATCCATTTCTTTTATACCTATCTTTTACAATTATTTTAATACAAAAACAAATTAATAAAAAAGACCTCCACATTAACATTCAGTGGTGTAAAAACCAAAAATACTCATATTAAAACTTGAAACTCTTTGACAATGTGAACTTTGCTTAATTTTATTCTGTTCATCAATAAAATGTGAAGAAAAATTATCTTCTTCAATCTTTGAATCTGATAACAACTCTATTTAAAAGAAATAATTATAACTAGAACTATAAATAATCCCTCAACCATACCTACTACTTAATTTAATTTTTCAACCAATTTTGTACTTTCAATTTCTGAATTTAAACAATTTCAGCATGCTTTCAATCAATTTTCAATTTTCATATCAAGTTGATTAAAGGATTATTTAATACAATAGAATGTTGTCAATTATATAAATATATGTAACCAATTTAACAACATTACATATAATAGGACACCCAAATAGTTAAAATAAAAGGAAAATCTTAGTAATACATAAAAAAGACTAATAGCTAGATAGATATTATTCAGATCAAATTAAACAAGAATCTATTTCAGTTTATAAACTATTAAGAAAAAAATATGATATTTGTGTTATACTTTTATCATTGGGCTTATTCATAATAGGTGGCGGAGGTTCTGGCAATGAAGAGCAGTATGATTTGCTATTCTTATTTTTAATGCTTTCTTTAACATATATCTCATCTGATGTAGAAAGTTGTATTCTTTACAACATGAAAATGAATACAATTATAAAATATTTTGCTACAAAAAACGCAAAACAAGTTAGATACTGACTATCTGTTATCTTATACTTTATCAATGGAAATTTGTGCCATTCTTTTGTTGACGAAAGGTTGTTTTTCAGTGCATGATTATAGTTTTTTTTTGGGACAATAAATTTGTTGCTATTCTGTTATTACAATAAACTTGTTGCTATTCTTATTATTCAATCCACTTGTTTAGTGCATAATTACTTGGTTAGAAAAACATGCAGA